CTGGCTTCCCAGAAATCTACAGAAAGGAAACAGAGAGTAGCATTTAATGAATCTATTGGGCAGTTAGATACTTGTTAACCCACAGTATTGGTGTTAACCCACAGTATTGTTAACCCACAGCCTATTGATGTGCAATTATTGTCGTTACTATGATTATGCCCCAAGGTTGACTTTACTTAATGCACATAGCAAGAAAATAAAACTTCTAGACAACTTACCCAGCTCCACTTTGAGTCGCTCTGAAAAGAAAGATGTTCTAGTTATTAACACTTAATTTGTGAGGGTTTTTTCAAAGTTGGACAGCTCCAAACAATAGAATATCAGGCAATGCCATGAGTCAGTATGAGGACTTTTTTTTTAATCCTTGTGATTTAAATTTTTGAGACTTTGTTGCAAGATGAGGGACACAAACTGGGATTCTAGGGGATGTCTGCATTTGCTTACATTTAATAAGCATTTCAGAGGATATTAACTCAGCCAATTGGGCTCTATGGAGGAAATTAATTTCTTGTCTGTCGTCATAATGGTTCAGGTGGATGTGATTTGTAAGGAAAAAACACATGATGCAACAGAGGTGTCTGTAGCTTTGGTGTAGTTTTCAGGTAAGAAAAACTGGCAAGGAGGCTTATTTGTAGTCGTGAGAGATCTTATAGCAAGCTATGTGATAAATCTCTTGAAGTGGAAAATCAAACCTCACTGTGAGGAGATATTTACATTGACTTCACCACCACGGATGGCATAGTCTGGCTCATCTGAAGACTTGCTTTGTTTTTAATGAGTTTTGTAAAAATGCAAGATTTATATAAGATGTTTTCTTACCAAGGTGTTGTCTATTTTCAGATGTTGCTGTAAAAGAGTAACTTTAATAAGTTAAATGGAAATTCAAGAAGATAATGATTGAGGTGAGGTCTGAAGGAAATAATTCTATTGCTCTGCAAATACTGAAATTAAAATCTGCCATGTGAAAACTTGTCAACTTAAATTCTTAAAAGCATATATTGTTGATAAAAATTCGGTATGAATTAACATAACTATGCTGCATTGTTTACAGGGATGTGGCATCTACCCTCGTTTAGTTTAAAACCATTACCCTGTGTCCTAAAACGTTTGTGCCCATCTTTCTTATAGGTCCCCTTTAAGTATTAAAAGGCTGCAATAAGGTCTCCTCAAAGTCTTCTCTTCTCCAGGCTGAACAAGCCCAACTGTCTCAGCTTTTCATCACAGCAGAGGTGTTTCCATCCCTCTGATCATTATTGTGGGCCTCCTCTGGACCCATTCCAACAGATCCATGTCTTTCCTGTGCTGAGGACTCCAGAGCTGGACCCAGTAGTCCAGGTGGGGTCACATCAAAATGGAGTAGAGAGGCAGAATCACCTCCCTAGACCTGCTGGCTCTGCTTCTCTTGATGCAGCCCAGGATACAGTTGTCTTTCTGGGCTGCAAGTGCACATTGCCAGCTTGTGTTCAGCTTTTCACCCATCAGTACCCCCAAGTCCTTCTCAGCAGGGCTGCTCTCAACTCCTCCATCCCCCAGCCTGTACTGATACTGGGGTTGCCCTGACCCAGCTGCAAGACCTTACACTTGGTCTTGTTGAACCTCATGAAGTTCACATGGGCCCACTTCTAAAGCTTATTGTGGAATAAATTGTCTAGTGTTATTTGTCTACTGTCTATTCACAGGTGCAAGCTGTTCAATATTACTTGAGATACCCTTAAATCTCCTGCCTGGCATTCAGAAGGCCTACTCATGCAAAAGGAGTTGACATCCAGAGGTCTATGTAACCTCTCCACGTGGGTATCTCAGTTGAGGAATGAAGCAGGAAGAGACGAGGAAGCATGACATGACATTTTCCTTAGTACTTCTTTTGTATGTAGCTAAACATCCAAGCCAATATTTCAGAGCATACAAAGTCCAAGCTGTACATTTTTGGCTTTGTGATGCTAGTTACACCTGTTTGAATAATTTGAACAGAAATTGAAAAAGAACAGGAGCAGTAGGTCAGAGCTTCAAGAAATCTCAGTACAGACAGCAAGAGTCCAGGCAGAGAGATTACACAGAAGCAGAAAGGTATCACAAGCCTCTTAGAAATCGAGCCACACTAAATAATATATTTTAACAATGACTAAAAATTAAACAGAACTAACAAACATTTGAATAAAGGCAACCTGCTGTGCTTTTCTATTAAGTATCTTACTTTTTTTTTATTAAGCTTTTTTGTTAAGTAGGCTATTTTTTTCATAAATATCTACTTATAAGAGCTGATTAACATTGTCTTAATTGTAGAACTGTACTTACCTCCTTTGTTTGTTTTCTTCTGTAGTTCTAAGTTGATTAACAAACAAAACAAAAAAAAAGGAAGGAAAAAAACCAAAACATTACTGACTGACCAGCTGGTTTAATTTAGAAGTAAAAAAATTATGAGAAGAGCTTTTAAATTGTTTCATTGTCCTCAATTACTAATGCTCCAACAAGTTATTGAAGATGGATAATTTCTGAATATATAATCAGACATGAAAACAGGACATAAAAACTTTTTTTAAAGGGAACAGACACATTCAGAAGTACTTCATATAAAAATCTACATCTCATTTGCTCTTTTGGGGATGTAGATAGCATGCACCCTAGAAGTACTGAAAGGAACAGGAAAACTGTATTCTTACCTAGTTCCATTGTCAAACGTTCTTTTTCTGAAAGAGATTATACATGATTACTAATGTATAAGTTTCAGTATCAAATTTAAAATTTTTAATTACAATGTTTTCTTGATTACTTTTAGTTTCATTTTCTTCAATAATATATTAACATGGGTTATAAAGACAAGACCAGGTGCAGTTTTTGAGTGAACAGTTCAAGGCTTGGTTTTTATTTTATTTTTAATTTTATAAATTTTAAATATTTAAATTTTATAAAAACATTCATTTATTTTGTCTCTAATAATCTTGGGAATTATTAGTGTGTTAAAACAGCAGAAGCAAAAGATCAGGATACATGGATTACTGTGATCCAGCCATGCAAAGAATGGAACATAAACCTGGCATAGAAAAATGGCATTTTCAGAGCAATTACAGCATTGATCAGGTTATACCTGAAGATATTAGTGCAATCATATTAGATCATGGTGTACCAGCCTGGTCTACATCTTGCAAGCATCAGGGGATTACCCTGAGTCATTTACTCTACTTCAGGCTATCTATGGAGGGGTCAACACTTTTTAATTATAAAGGACAATATGACCAATTGTCATTGAATCTTTTATGCTGATGAGGACAGTTATTTTGAGGTTCATGTCCAAGAAATCAAAATGCTTTAGAACAGCATCTTTGATTTTGTGTTTTCAAGATATCCCCACACTTTTTAAGGAGCATTTACCTGTTACCATGTCATTTCTCAATCTTACTGAAAAAAAAAATAAAAAATTCAATATTAATTATTCAGTATCTCACAACAATAAAAAAATAAATTATACCAATCACAGGATCTGGAATTCTAGTTGAAAGTTAAACCCATCAATTCTATGGGAAAAGTAAATCATTTAACAGAGTACTGCATCATTTCTGAGTACTGCAGTGGCAATACTCAGAGCTGAGCAGTGTCCAAATACCTCCACTTCACCTTAGTGCTCTGTAAAACTGAAATAATTAAATATTGATTATGCCCGCATTATTATTACACCTAGAAAACTGCTTACAAATCTGCTGCTGGCTCAGAAGTAGAAATTTTTCTCCTAAAATATGTTCTTGTGGGTTTATATTTAGCTTCTTCATTACTCACCTGCTTTACGGGATTGTGTACAACTACCTGGAAAAAAAACCAAAGAAACTTTAAAAAGTTTCCTTTTTTATTTTAAAATAAGGTATCTATTGAGCATATTGAAGCATAATTTCAAAATTTCTCATTTTAAAATGAGAAATTAAAAGAAATACACTATTCTAAAAGCTGAAATCGTGTTCTGTGCCTATAGATATCTGTGGTCATACAAAATGGCATCTCATAGTAGTGACCTCCCTATAAAAGATGCTCTGTGCATTCACACACATGCAGCCCCCACCTATACTCTACTTTTAACTATACATCAGTTGTTTTCTCCTCTCTCCTTTTCATTCCTGTATTTTTATTTCTGAATCTGTTTTTTAAAATGTTATTTAATTTTTATTTAACTGTTTTTTACATTGTAGATGAAAACTTCCACATCAACTGTCATGGGTGGAATATACTTACTGTTTAGTTTATAACCTATAGCAGCAACAACAGCTATATTAAGAAATAAAATCACAAGGAAGGCCACCATCCAGGGAGAAGTAGAAGGAAAGAAGACATCTGTAAAATATAAATGGTGTTACTTTTACTGAATGTTGTGAAACAGCTAAGAGTGGTCAAAGCCTATGCATCTGGTGCCATTTTATTTACTGTAATGTAACCTTTACCATCTCCTCCTGCCACCCCTAAGGGTTGTGGGTCTCCTCTGAATCCCAAAATATCCTTTTGCTGCACTGCCAGCTATTCCAGGCCATCAGAGATGGTACTAGGTGTTTATGTGCAGGCAATCAGATTGTGCTCCTACACTGAATACACCTACACTCATTCAGATTCAGACTACCATGGGTACAGGTATGTTTGGAGAAGCTGCCTCTTTATGAGGGAGATGTGTTGTGTCCATCTCCAAGGCCAGTATTTGCACTGCTGAACTACAAGATGAAGTTTTCAGCAAAGCAGAATGGTCTGCAATGGCATTTCACTTATCAAAAAAAGGATCTCCTCCTTCCTCTTTAGAAATAAAATTGCCTACTGTCCAGACTAGGAATCATCTAGAGGGAGGCACATGCTGAAGCTCAGAGTAATCATTGTGGTGTTAGGGAGAGAGAGAAAGGGATGGGAGTAGACACTCAGCATTTCCTATCAACATACTCCAGCTGCCTCAGGTCATTGTTCTGGATATCCTGGAAGCATTGTAGGGCCTTTGTTCATCCCACTGGCACTTCTAAATCCTTCCCTTTCCAAACTGGCAGAGTGCTCTCAGGAGGCAGCTAATGAGAACTCTGCCTTAGTATTTGTAGCTAAGATGTAACTTGAATGTAACATGTAGTCTAAGACATAAAGATGGAATTGTCAGCACGTTATCCATCTAAACAATCATTTGTGCTTGGGCTGGGTGTCCAGGATCACTCCAGGGTCAATGGAGAGGCAATGGACAGCAGTCTACCAACTGGTCCTGACAGTGATTGATGCTGGAGATCACTCACCTGAAATCAGGACTTGGGATTCAGACGTTGTATTGAGTAGATTATTGACTACTCTGCACGTGACTTCATTGTCAGATCCAGGTTCAAGATTCATGGAACTTACAACATCAAAAACCCCTGAAGAAGTCTCTGTGCTTTGGGTGGTCACTTCCTCCTTCCGTGTGTGTCCTTTGCTGTTCAGCCAGACCACTCTGGGCTCTGGAAACCATCCCTGTGACTTGCAGGTGAGGCTGATGCCCTGACCCATGTGACCATCCAGGAAAACTGAAGACTCATCACCTTTAGCTATATAACAACAAACAAACAAGCTCCAAAAAGTAGGAGACAAGATATTCTCTCACCAAACAGCACATGGTGGGAAGGTCTTCCCCAAATTTATCTATAAACAGAGTGTGTAAATTAATCAGATTTGAAATTTTGGTTCTCATTAAATTACTGGTAAATAGCTCTTCCTGTGCTACGTTCAAATGGGACATTTGTGCATAACTTCCCATTTACACTCCTAATAGAGACAAACGTTTGGGTTATTTTTTGTTATCTCCATGAACTACTGGAATTAAAATAAAGTAACATCACACTGACTGGAAATTTGTTGGTAAAACAAAGTTGAACGACACCATGAATAGATGAAAATTGGAACACTGGACAGAAAATGAGATGATGTGTAGGGCAAGAGCATGAAAAATAGGTTGCAGTACCAAACACAGTTTCAATCAGGCTTCAGTTGCTTCACCTCTGCAAAACCAGGATTGTTTTGCCATAGGATTAATGTCTCTCCTACCTTTAAATGTTTTAAAGCTAGGGTCTTGCCTTTACTCCCTCTGTAAGACATGGCAAAAGATATCTGTGACTATTCAGAGTCTGCAGGCAAGAGAGGCAGCTGAGCTATAGCAGAGGGTGGTCTTTCACATGGATAAGAACAAGTGAGATGAATCCAACCCACTGATACCCCATAGACCTTTCTGATGTTACAGAACTGGACTGAGGAAGAAATAGAAAATGCCTACCATTCCACTCACCTGCCACACACAAGTCAACCACCACTTCATCATACCAGTTCTCAAAAAAGACACTGCAGATGTATTTCCCTTTGTCCGAGAGCACGACATTTTTCAGGTGAAGAGACAAGTTTCCCTTATTAAATTCAGACTGAAAAAAATTTGTCCTGCCCTGGTATGTCTCGTCCTCATGAACTGGATTGTATGTGTTTTTTCCATCATAAGTGGTCACATCAATTTTTTTGGAGTTTCCAGTAAATATCCACTGAACAGAAAGTCTCTCAGGGATTATCCTAACTTTCAGCTGGCAGGGCAGGATGACTCCTTTTCCAACGACTCCAATGACAGGCTTGTCAGGAGGAATAATTTTATACTGGCCTGCAAGAAGATATAAGTGTAAATCTTTTCTGGCATAGAATCAAAGAATGGTTTAGGTTGGAAGAGACCTCTAAAGGTCGTCTAGTCATGCAGTGATCAGGGACACCTTAAACTAGAAAAGGTTGCTCAGAGCCCCATCCAACCTGACTTTGATTGTTTCCAGGGATGGGGCATCTACCACCTCCCTGGGTAACTTGTTCCAGTGTTTCACCACCCTCATTATAAAAAAAATTTCTTCCTTATATCTAGTCTGAGTCTCCCCTCTTTTAGTTTAAAACCATCATTACGGGCCCTACTAAAAAGTGTCTCCCCATCTTTCTTATAGGCCCTCTTTACATATTGAAAGGCTGCAACAAAGTCTCCCCAGAGCCTTCTCCAGGCTGAACAACCCCAACTCTCTCAGCCTTTCCTCATAGCAGAGGTGTTCTGTCTCTCTGATCATTTTTGTGGCCTCCTTTGGACTCGCTCCAACAGGTCCATGTCTTTCCTGGACTGAGGACTCCAGAGCTGGACACAGTACTGTCACAAATATTCTCATTAGAACTTCATACAGGAAACTGGAATACATGCAGGGATGTGAATACGGGAAAAAGGAGCTATTCTGCTCTGGTAAAAATCAATAAAACAGAAGATGCTTTAGATGACTATTTTATTTCAAGAGCAAGTTCCATAATCTCCCACTGGAAAGGCCAGTTTAGCAGGCATAGACTAATGGGACAAGAGGATTGGAGAGGAAGATGTCCTGTGACAGTAACCAGATCACACCTCTGTAGGTCCACAAGAGCATGTACAATCACAGTTTTGTAATTGAAAGCCCCTGCCATCCTCTACCATCCTTCACTGCTACCCCTTATCCTAAGAACATAGTGTAACTTATCATAGAATCATAGAATGGTTTGGGTTGGAAGGGACCTGAAAGATCACCCAGTCCCAACCCCACTGCCATCAGCAGGGACACCTTCCACTAGACCAGGTTGCTCAAAGCCTCATCCAGCCTGGCCTTAAACACTTCCAGGGAGGAGCAGCCACAGCTTCTCTGGCCAACCTGGGCCAGTGTCTGACCACCCTCACAGTGAAGAACTTCTTCCTAATATCTCATCTAAACCTCCCCTCTTTCAGCTTAAACCCATTTCCCCTTGTTTTGTCATTAACTGCCCTTATGAAAAGTCCCTCCCCAGCTTTCTTGTAGCCCCTTCAGGTACTGGGAGGCCGCTGTAAGATCTCCCTGGAGCCTTCTCTTCTCCAGGCTGAACAGCCCCAACTCTCTCAGCCTGTCCTCACAGGAGAGGTGCTCCAGCCCTCGCATGATCCTCATGGCCTCCTCTGGACTTGTTCTAACTGTTCCATGTCTCTCTTATGTTGGGGCCTCCAGAACTGGATGCAGTATTCCAGGTGGGGCCTTACGAGAGCAGAGTAGAGGGGGAGACGCTGCTGAAAATACTTCAGGGAGACGCTGCTGAAAATACTGAGCTCAGCTTGTAGATTGGTTTAGATGTAGAAATGGCATGTCTATCATGGAGAAAGGCTAGCTCATTTTGTAAAGATGGAACTCACAAAGGTGAGATTTTGCCTACCTAATTTCAGATGTCCATAATCTTTTCACTAGGACGGCTGCATTCAGTGATGAAACAGGTATTGCTACAAATACGTTGCAAATAAAATATGCATTGCCAAAACCCCTTCACAAATCTACTTAATTAATTAATTAATTTCTAGATCTATCCACTAACTCTGGAAATTAGATGTCTTTTTAAATCAAACATTAGAACAGAACCTAGATTTACCTGTGACCGTATGAATTATCTGTAGGAAAATAATGACGTGAAGAGTTGTTGCTGGCTGATACCTGAAACCCATCTCCTTGTAGTTTTGTAAGACATCAACAAATAAAACTTCCAGTGCAGATCTTACCAGATTCCTGTAATCTTTCAATGCACAGAAAAGAAAATGAGAAGAGTGAATCAAACTAGAGTCATACAGTTCTCTATATATTGCTGTATATGGAGTGACACAAGGACAAATCCTCAGGGGTGTTTAGGTACCTTCAAGCAATGCCAAGAAAATGACAGAATAAGCTGTTTTTAACAGAAGTAAATTAATTAAGTTGTGTTTCTAAGACTTATGCTTGGCCACCAGAGAAAAGACAGGTATTTTTGAGAGACTTGGAAGGACACTATATTGGATCTTGAGGGCACTTCACAGGCCTGTTCCTCAAGTGTCCATGAGACACTCAGTGTTCAGGAAACTTCTATCTAGGATGGCAACATTTTCCTAGATGATGTGAGACGAAAGCTAAACCCAATGAGATGTGTCTCACTTCAGGTAGGTGAGATCATGAGGCAGACAGAGATCTTTAAAAAGCTCATTCATTTCCAAGTCCTGTTATTCAGCATCTACTGTGCACTGAAACTCCATATGTTGTTTCTTTCACTCATATTTACTTGGTCAAAACTTCTGTTGTCATTGTTAGTTGGAGGAGGAATCTATGATTTTTAGAAAGGATCTTCAAAAATGCCAGAAGACAAAAAATAAATTTCTACATCATTCCTGTTTTGAATAAAATGCTCACATACTTCTAACCTTAGCAGATGTTTGTGCCATTTGAGACCAGGGAATCAGCTTGGGAAATTCCTGACCTAAGTAACACATATTGTCTGTCAAATGATTATTCCAGGCCTATAAAGTTAATAAAATCAGCAATGGGTGAAATTCACCTGCTGCATATGAGTTAAGTATGTTTGGATTCTTGGGGAGAAATATGTACGTAAGATGAAGCAACCTATTGATTGCTGTAAAGAAATTAATTGAGGATACACTGGTGTGTAAAGTCTAGGGGTGTAAATTCAGATGCACAGAATCTCATCCAACATTTTAATATTTTTTTTTTAATAAAATGTAAGTACTTTTCTCCACCCAGAGCTTTTCATGTGAACTCCGACAAAAATTAGACCAACCTACACTACTCATATCACCAAACTCAACATCGGAAGGGACTGGTTTCTTTAGAGCCCAGAAACATTTCTGTTCATATGCAGGGTCTGCAGATGGTGCTCACTTCCTTGTGAAAGCTAACCCACAGGCATCTTTGTTTTCCTAGCAAAGGAGAAGCATGAAGCTGTAGAGTCAAAAAAAGAAGCTAGGGATTGCAACTGCAGAGTGCCAAGCACGTTGTCTTATTCTGCATTCATTCATTGCTGCTCCTGTTGAATAATTAACTATTCACCCAAAAGCAAAGCTAGCTTTTCCAAGATCTAGAGAGAATGAAAGCAGAATAAAAAGAATTAAAAACTGCAGCAAATGCACAGAGCCTTGTCTGTCTTTCTTTCAGTTTATTTCTGTTTTGCACTCCTTCAAGTGAAGTTAAAAGCCAAATCTTTTTAAAAAATGAAAGACAAAATAAATGCCACGGATTTGTACCATTCACCATCTGGAAAATTTAACAAAGATTTATTGCTTGCACATTTGTAAAAATCTGTATCTTTTATATTGATTATCTGCAGAGTAAATTTATACCTGAGTTATACTTCATCAGTTAAGATTATCTATGTCGTAGTATATATACTAAGTCACATTGGTATATACCTACCAGATAAACACATAACAAGTCTATATTTCTGACACAAAAAGGGCAAATAAATTTGCTTTCATAAGTGGAAATATGTTTCAGAATCAGCACATTGCAGTCCTCAGACCAGCCCCATCCACCACAACAGTTCAGCAAATGATCTCTTTTGAGCAACCTAGCAAATAACAATTAATATTTCAGTGATAAATCTCTTTATTAAAGGTTGCTGGCAGGTAGCATCTGATTCAAAATCAAAATCATGGATCAGATTTACACTTTATCCACTCCTAAGCAAGGAGACCATGTTATTCATTACATTAAGGAAGTAAATTAAAAGAAACTTAAATGATCTTTAACAAGTTCAATGAAATGGCACCCAAAACCGACAGTAATATATTCCCACTGATCCAGGCAAGAAAAGCCTTTTAAACTGGGATCATTCCCTGGGGGCTGTCAATAGCAAACCCTCAGCTCAGTATTCATGCAAACCCCTCCAAAAACCTAACCATGTGCAATTCTCTTTCAGCCAGACTTTAATTCCTTACCTGAACAGCAAGATCCAAAGTATCCATTTTAAATTCAGCACGGATTATGGAAACAAGGAAACTTCGGCTTGTATTTCCTGAACGTGTGTACTTTCTTTTTCCATATCTATAGAGGTGAGAGACTTCATTGATTTCCTCACTAAACCTTACAAGTATTAAAATCTGAACTTTCTCCACAAGCAATTTTTTGCCCTTGGGTACAATATTCCAGCCCATAGCTGTAGATAACAACAACCTATAATAAGAGATATCCAAAGGCTTGATTTGCCTACACACCTAGATCCAAAGTACAGTGAAAGGATTATGTTTCAAATTCTTTTGTACCTGTGCAGTGCAACTTATGTTCTAGTAGGGCTTTCTGACAATTAAATAAAACTGAGAAAACAGGAGGTAGGGAGACCAAAATGGGGTGTTGCATGAACTCATTAGCCACTAGGATGATTTGAAGTTAGAAGTATGAATATACAAGACAGAGATCAGACAGGAAAACATTGTCATTTGTAAATTGCACAATTTAGAACTTTAAATTTTGCCTTATGATTCAATTACACCAATTTTATTTATGTATTTGAGAGAGAGAGGAAGTTAAGAACTGTAGAACAGGAAAATAACTTTAATTACAAGACTCAGACCCTTCATAGAGAAAAAGACTAATGAACACCTGCATGGGGCTCAATTCCCCTTCACTTAAAGGTGGAATAACTCTGTACAAAATTGTTGAAGGCATGGGGACACATCTAGATTTAAAACTCTGGGTTTTTTTATGGCCCTCAGGCAGGATCAATCATGTTGTAGAGCTGTCTCTCTCTCCTTTGACTGTAAAGGGAGAATAAATATCCAGCTGAGACCTGAAACCTAATTTTCAAATAACCAAGGTCACAGTAGCTCAGTTGCACCTGGGGAATCAAAGACTGTGATTCCTGTAATCAGATATGGTGTTTTATCATATAATGAGATGAATCATAACTCAAACTCCACTGTCTTTCACAATCTCAGGAAAATAAGTGTTTGTTTCACATGAAGATTATATTATCTCTGAAAATGCAGGCACCTCTCTCCACATGGCATTGAGGATCATCCTGTGGAAAGCTAAATCTTGACACATGGAAGTGGGGTCCCATTAACAAACTTCTGACCAAAACCTGCAGTTTTCTGACTATTTACATTTCTCCCCTTACACACTACATCCTCAAAAATATGCAAAATATGTTTTTAAAGTAAACATGTACACCATCTTTATGCAATAGAGAGATGGGAACTTAGGCTGCCTTACAGCAGCCTTCCAATACCTGAAGGGGCTACAAGAAAGCTGGGGAAGGACTTTTCAATAAGGGCAGTTAATGACAGAACAAGGGGAAATGGGTTTAAGCTGAAAGAGGGGAGGTTTAGATGAGATATTAGGAAGAAGTTCTTCACTGTGAGGGTGGTGAGACACTGGAACAGGTTGCCCAAGGAAGTTGTAGATGCCCCCTCCCTGGAAGTGTTTAAGGCCAATCTGGATGAGACTTTAAGCAATCCGATCTAGTGGAAGGTGTCCCTGCTGATGTCAGGGGGGTTGGAACTAGATGATCTTTAAGGTCCCTTCCAATCCTAACCATTCTATGATTCTACGAAAGTGGTATTGCTTTCTCTGGATGTCCTGTAAAAAATGCTTTAAATGGGAACTTTTTTTTCCCTAAAGAATAACTCTGCTGTGGAAAAGAAAGTACTGTCTCACTGCCTCGTTAACTGAAGGGATTGGTTATTTGCTAATTATGCCTCTAGCATGCAGTTGCAGTTCTCTTACAAAACCAGACCTCGTATTTTCAGAAGCACTGCTGGATTAGGCTCGTATTAGATGATACCAAAATAGCACTTTGTTATCTATGTCAGATAGCTTCTGATGAGTGACATTAAAATCTTCTCAGGAAGTTACATGTCACTTAGGCAGAGGAGACCTGCTGTCAATACTTCTCCCTTCTAAATCCAAACGTGAGTTTTCTTTGGTGATGTCTCCTTTTGTTTGCTAATTTTTGGACTTGTTTTCTAATAATTTGTAATGACAACAGTCAGTGCAGTAGAAGTATTAGGGTTCAAAAAGAAAGTCAATTTTCTCAAAAATCTATAATATCTTATTACATTGAAACATTTACATTATTGCATTTTCAACTTGTTCTCTGCTATTCAGCTAAACAAATTCTAGCCAGCAGCCCAGACATTACATTCCCACTTTATTTCTTTAGGAAGCATATATATATATATATATACATAATTATTATTATTATTTTTTTTTTCTGATCAACAAAGTGACTAAAAGCTTTCTGTTCAACATGTTTCCTTTCATCTATCACATTTCTCATGGTGCAAATCATGTACATCAGGATTTGTCAGACCTACTTCAAAGCTGAATCAAATTCAGCAGAACCAAGAAGCTGTGCCTAAAAGGTCTATGGACTTTGGTCTGGGCCATTAAAAATCTCCCAGTCAGAACATTGTATTCCTGGGCATCCTGCACCATCCAAATCTGGAAGATATGGGGAATCCAGTTGAGAAATTCAATCCTAACTCCTATGGTGATCTCAGACAACTCTTCCTTCACCTGCATCCCTAAGGATGTTAATTCATGTTCTATATGTGCATATTTTCTAGACGGGATCATCACTGATGATATTGCAAGGTGGACCTGCAGGATTCACCTCATCAGTGATGACTCCATCTAGGAAATGCCAAGATTCACATGAGAAAGCATCACATTTCCCTTCTTGATG